TTTTTGAGATACAGTCTCACTCTGTCACGCAGGTTCTTCAAGTACGGTGGCACAATCTTGGCTCTCTCTGCCTCCTGAGTTCACATGATTCTCCTGCCTCAACTTCCTGAGTAGCTGGGAGGGTTTCAGGCAGCTGCCACCATGCCTGGCTGAGTTTTATATTTCTGGTAGAAACAGGGTTTCACCATGTTGGCCAGTGTGCTCTTGAACTCCTGACCTCAAATGATCCGTCCGCCTCAGCATCCCAAAGTGCTGGGACTACAGTCATGAACCACAGTACTTGGCCTTAGTTATGGCATCTTAAAGAGCAATTGATAACTTTTTTTGTTTTTGGCTTATTTGTTTTTGAGACAGGGTCTTGCTCTGTTGCCCAGGTCGGAGTGTGCAGTGGTATGATCGCTGCTCACTGCAGCTTCAGCCACCTGGGCTCAAGCAGTCCTCTCACCTTGACCTCCCAAAGTGTGGGGATTACAGGTCCCAAAGCGTTGGGGTTACAGATATGAGCCACTGTGTCTAGCTGAATGCAGGGTGTTAGCGTGCAAGAGCTTTGCCTGTTTTGTACACATTGGGCGAATAAGCTGTTCATATTTTCCTCTACTTGTATTTTCAAACTTACAGGAAGGAGAAATTAGCCAGGTGCAGGGGCTCATGCCTGTACTCGTAGCACTTAGACAGGCTCAGAGGATTGCCTGAGGCTAGGAGTTTGAGACAGCCCGAGCAATATAGGGCGACCCTGCCTCTACAAAAAAGTACAATAAAAAAACTAGCTGGGCATGGTGGCATGTACTCATGATCCTAGCTGCTCAGGAGGCCAAGGCAGGAGGATCACTTGAGCCTGGGATATTTCGGTTGCAGTGAGCTGTGATGTCACCACTCTACTCCAACCTGGATGTCAGAATGAGACCCTGTCTTTAAAAAAAAATAAAAAATAAAAATTAGTTTCTTGTGCTTTTTTTGTAGCTTACATTAATCAGAATTTCCTTTTGTTTTTGGCAGTACAGAGAAAAACATTGAAAAGTATTCTTAAGCTCTTTTAGAATCTGAATCCATGTGTCCTCACTTTTATTGTTCCTTTCTCTAACATCCTGGGTACAGAGATGAACCTGACAGAGAGAGCTTTTGGGCTCTTAGCAATGATGTTTCCTTGCTCTTTGTTGTCTGTAATTAAATTAAAACTTCTGGTAGATCGGTGTATTTATACCATGGTATTTGAGATGTGCGGTGTTTATAATTTTGGATTTCAGTCTTTTTAGGGAATGTGCAATACTAGTAGAAGACCTTGAAAATTAGAATGAAATCACTCCTTGTTACTTTTAAAATATTTTAATTTATATCTTAAACAAATTATAGTTACAATAGAACCTTATTTAAAAAGATAATACATTATGCCTTTTTTTTTTTTTAACAGAAAGTGTCAACAGAATTCATAGAAGTGAAGAATTTTTAAGAAGGTAACGAAAAGAGAACGAAAATGCCGAAACCAGTAAGTTATTTTATTACACTTGACACTGTCTACATAGTAATGCTGGGGTTCAGGGGTGACCTCAGCTACCCTGAGAGCACGTTTCTGCAGGGCTCTTGGTCTCCTGCTCTCTCAAGAATGAGAGGGAACCAGGTGTGCTCGCAAAGTAAATACCGGACCCCAAACAGTGTTTTTGCAGAAAGTGAATTTATTTTAGGTGGGGAGAGAGAGAGAGAGAGAGAGAGAGAGAGAGAGAGAGAGAGAGTGTGTGTGTGTGTGTGTGTGTGTGTGTGTGTGTGTGTGTGTAAGGGGACTCCAGAGGGAAAATCCAGGAGAGAGAAAGTCAGCTTCCACGACAGAGTTTGTGGAAGGGGATTCAGACATGGAATCCAGTGGGGTGAGGAAGAAGGGGACTTTTAACCTGGGAGGAGCCCCCACCTTCTCCAAGATGTCTGGCCAAAGAAAGGAGTTCCTTAGAACTTCCACTGGAGTGATTGACTTTTGACCCTTTCCCACCCCAGCGAAAATTTTAAGACAGTTAAATCTCTTGGATGGAGGGAGATGGGAACGAGGCATGGCGCTGGGACGTTCTTGCCCTTAAAACCACACCCCATTGTGGACCGGGAAAGAGAACACCTTCCCCCAGTAAGATACCATTAAATTCTTTTTGGAACAAGGCATAGAATTTTGGTACAGTTCTTGGAAGAAAAAGGTACTGATATTACTGTTATTTGTTTTTAGATTAATAGGGCTAGAGCATAGTATTATGTATGTGGTCATGACTTCTAGGTCAAACTCTTAGTTTTCACCTTGGTTCTGCCTCTCATCTCCGTTACCTTTATTAATTTAGCCCAATCTGTACAATTTTTCATTTCCTCATGTATAAAATGGGAATATAATTAGTTACCCTAGGGAATATGGTAAAGGTATCTGATATATATATTTAGTGCCCAGTAAATGATAAAAGCAAAGTTTGAAAAATGAAGCAACAGCATTTCTAACAGCGTAAAAAACATGGCATACTTAGGAATAAATGTACAAATGCTACGTAAGATCTCTACACTGAAAACTAGATGTAAGAAATTAAAGATTTAAATATATAGAGAACTATACAATGTGTATAGATATCTTTATAAACTTGTATTAAGAAGTCAGTTCTCCATAAAAGTTTTGTAAATGAAATTCAGTTCCAGTCAGTTGAATCCAGGCAGCCTTCTTTGATTAAAATTGACTAGCTGATTCTAAAATATATTAATATATGGCTATACCAAAATGCGTATGGAATAGCTAAAGCAATTTACAAAAAAAGAAAACTTACACTCCTGGATTTCAGGATTTATTCTTATGTCACTAAAGTAAGACATTGAGTTACTGATGAAAGAATAAATAGACTAATAGTATTGGTGAAACGAAAATACACCAGTGCACATGCATACACATATATGTATTCATTAGATTCTTGACAAGGGTGTCACACAATTTAATGGGGAACTACAATTATTTTCAACAAATGATATTGGCACAAAGGGTTATCCATACAGAAAAACGTGAACATTGACTCTTGTCTCACAATTTACACAAACATAAACTCTAAGTATAGACCTACATACAAAAGCCCAAACTATAAAACACCCAGAAGAAAACATAAGAAAAAATTTGTGACCTTGAAGTAGACGAAAAATTTTATATAATACACAGAAAATTAGAACCATTAAAGAAAAAGTTGGAGTTAATCAAAATTAAAAACTTTTTTGTGAAAGATAGAACATGGAAAGGCAAGACAACAGGAGAAAAAAGTTGCCATATAAAGTTCTTCTACAGTTCAATAATAAGACAACTCAGGTGGTTTTTTTTTTTTTTTTTTTTGAGCAAAATATTTGAGCAGATAATATTTCACAAAAGAAGCTATATTAGACTGGTAGGCTGGGCATGGTGACTCATACCTGTAATCCCAGCATTTTGGGAGGCCGGGGTTGGAGAATCACTTGAAGTCAGGAGTTCAGGACAACCTGGCCAAAATGGTGAAACTCTGTCTCTACTGAAAGCACAAAAATGAGCCAGGGATTGAGGTGCATACCTGTAATCCCAACTACTTGCGAGTCTGAGGCAGAAAAATCTCTTGAATTTAGGAGGCAAAGGTTGCAGTGAGCCAAAATGATATATCACTGCACTCCAGCCTGGGTAACAGAGTGAGACTTGTCTCACAAAAACAAACAAAAGACTGGTAATAATCCAGTGTAGATAAGGATGTGGAGCAGCTGTTGACTCCATTGTATTTCTGGTAGGAATATGAATGTTTACAGCCAATTTGGAAAACTCTTTGCCAGTATAATTGAGTGGAGAGTGTTTATTATTCCTTTTTTTTTTTTTTGGGGGGACGGAGTTTTGCTCTTATTACCCAGGCTGGAGTGCAATGGCGCGATCTCGGTTCACCGCAACCTCCACCTCCTGGGTTCAGGCAATTCTCCTGCCTCAGCCTCCTGAGTAGCTGGGATTACAGGCACACGCCACCATGCCCAGCTAATTTTTTGTATTTTTAGTAGAGACGGGTTTCACCGTGTTGACCAGGATGGTCTCGATCTCTTGACCTCGTGATCCACCCGCCTCGGCCTCCCAAAGTGCTGGGATTACAGGCTTGAGCCACCGCGCGCGGTTTATTATTCCTTAAAAAGTCAAAATTATATATGCAGTTGGATATTGATTGTGTGTTGTTGATTCATTACCAATTCTGGAAGTATAGAACTTGCCTGTGGAGAAAACAGCTCTTGAAGCTAGGTAAGTTTCAGAATGTGGAAGTTTTTGGGTTTTAGCAAGGTGAATTTACAATATATTATGTGCATATGTCCTTATATGATGAAACTCCCTTCAAGGTCTATGGCATCATCTCTAAAGTATTAATATGTCTATAGATTCATGTGTGAATAGTCACGTGAACTGGAATAAATTAATTGGCTACAAGTGATAGTCTCGTGTCACTTCATGTCAGATTTTTGCTCAAAATTAATCTTTGGTTTTCAATGCTTTTAGTATGTCAAAATTACTGAATAGGGACTGTGGGCCCATATTTGCAATAGCCACAAAGCCATGATGATTTAGGAGAAAACACCTAACAAATGAGTAAAGTGATTTATATGGAGCAAATTATAAGCAAAGGGATTTATATGAAGCAAATTATAAGCTCTTTATTTTAAAAGATTTTGAAAGTCATTGAAGGAGGTCTAAATCAATGTACAGTGAGAAAACCATAGTCATGTATAGAGTCAATATTAATAAAAATGTTAATTCTTAACCAAAGATACCGAAGAATTTCATCTTGTTCCAATACTAAATCATAAATGGTATATTTTGTAAAGTTCACAGTTTTATATGGAGTCAAGAGTGAAGATAATGATCCAGGAATAGTCAAAATAGTTCTGAAGAATAATGCAAACTTACCCTACCAGATATCAAGACTTATTTAAAGAAATACTAATCAAGACAATAAGATATTAAAAGTAGTTTAATTGACCAGTGGAACAAAATTATATCCACACTTATACATATATTTGATTTGTGACAGCACAGAGTTTGGAGATTACATGAACTAATTAATTGTATTGGAATTTTTAAAATTCCCTATATTTTCATTCATATGGAGATTAAAAATGAAATTGGACCTCTCTCGTTATAAACAAAAGTTATTGAAAATTATGAAATTCAAAATAATAAATATATGAATATCCTTATGACTCCAGAGTATGGAAGGATTTCTTAAGGGTGGCAAAAAATTGGACAGGTACAGTGGCTGATGCCTGTAATCCCAGCACTTTGGGAGGCTGAGGCAGGTGGATCACCCAGGTCAGGAGTTTGAGACCAGCCTGGCCAATATGGTGAAACTCCGTTTCTACTAAAATTAGCAAAAATTAGTCAGGCATGGTGGTGCATACCTGTAATCCCAGATACTTGGGAGGCCGAGGCAGGAGAATTGCTTGAACCTGGAAGGTGGAGGTTGCAGTGAGCTGAGATCATGTCACTATACTCTACGCTGGGCAACAGAGTGAGATGCTATCCCCCCCCACCCCGCCAAAAAAAAGGATGGAAAAAATTGGTATCTGTGTGTAAAATATTTATAAATTCAACATTAACATTAAGAATGTCAGTTTATCATAAAGGACACTGAAGAAAGTAAAATAAATCACAATATGGGAGGTTATTTTGTAAGAAATAACTGACAAAGGATCAGTATCAAGAATATGTAAAGACTTCCTACGTAAAAGTAAGAAAAAACAACTCAATAGAAAATAAAGTCATATGTGTGAACAGACATTCTAAGATGAGAATGAGTGGTCAGTTAAACATACTGTATTAGTTTTCCATTGGTCTGTGATGAATTATCACAAATTTAGTGTTATGAAACAGTACCCATGTATTATCCCAGTTTTATAGGTTAGAAATCTGGGATGATGTGACTGAGTTCCCTGCTCAAAGCCTTATAAAGCTGAAATCAAGGTGTAACTTATTCTGCAACCAGCCAATTAAATTGGTTAGCTTAGGCCCTCCTAGATAATTTTCCTGTCCTAAGGTCAGCTGTTTAGTAATCTTAAGTACTTCTGCAAAATCCCTTTTATCGTGTAATGCAACGGTAATCATGAGCATGACAGTAGGGGCCATCTTAAAATTTTGTATGCCACATGCCATATACAAAAATGTAGACTTCATCAGCAATCGGGGATCCTACTTTATAGCCATATTGAGATACCATTTTCTGCTAAGTGAATTGTCAGATATTAACAAATCTGATGATATCCACTGTTCCTGGAAATACAGAACAGCAAGAATTCTTATGCAATGCTGATGGGAGTATACGTTGACACAGTTACATTTATTCAACATTATGTGGTAAAGTAGAAGATGTGCACACTTTATTACTTAAGAATTCTGAGTATATTTTGGAGAAATTCTGACACTCAGAATTTGTACAAGATGTACAAGATGTTCATAGCAGCATTGTTCTTAATAGCCAAAAAATTGGAAACTGTTCATTGACAGGAAAATGGGTGAGTATATTTTTGTTTGGCCACATGCAGAATGTTGCATAGCAGTGAAAATTCTTATTACAGAAACATCAATGAATCTTAGAAACATATTGTGAAAAATTAAACAAGTGTAGTGAAATCCTAAATAATTTATTGAAGTAGAATATACATAACAAAGAGAATATATGAGAAGTGTGTAGTACAGTAGTCCCAGCCACAAGGGAGGCTGAGGCAGCAGGATCACTTGAGCCCGGGAGGTTGAGGCTGCAGTGAGCTGGGATTGTGCCACTGTGCTCCAACCTAGGCAACAGGGAAAATAAAGTGTGTAGTTGATGAATTTTCATAAAGTGAATATACCCATGTAAGCATTGCCCACATCAAGAAAGAAAATTTGATTAACAAATATTGTGCAGTTATAATACCACTAAAAATCTAGAAAAGTGAAGCTATCTTACATATACATAACTACATTTATGTTAGAACCATTTTTTTTTTTAAAGCAAGAGAATAACAAAATTTAGGTCCATCGTTACCTGTTGGTATTTACAAAGAAGTACAGGGGTTTATGCAACATTATCATTTCTTGTTATTCAGTTGGATGGTGGATTTATGGGTTTCATTTTATTCTTCATTGTTTATATATGATACATGTTTTGTGTATGTTATCTCTTAAGATACTGTTTTAGAAAAGAAAAAAATATGATTTTAAAGAAGGATGAATCTAATATTTAATTACAGAAGTTATTCCAGGTGAAAGCCATAACATTTGCTAAGGTTCTGATTGTTAGTAAGACATATGGAGAAATAAGAAGTCTGATATAGAGTTTTTATAGTGTGAGTTAAAGTTAGAAAGATAAAATGGCACAAGCTCTGTCCTCAGTAAAGGTACAGGCTGATGGAAAAAGATACTTAAAAAGAAATGCAGTAATATATATTAATAAAAAACTTTAAATACAGAAACAAAGTAGGAATTGCTTTTAGAATTTGTTACAGAAACAAAGTAGGAATTGCTACAGGTTTATACTGGTGACAGGAAAAGTAATGAATGTTAGAAAATAGATACAGAAACAGCAAATGAAGTATTGGAAAATTCAAGGAGAAGTAAGTTAATATATACACCATGGAATGCTATGCAGCCATAAAAAACAATGAGTTCATGCCCTTTGTAGGGACATGGATGAATCTGGAAATCATCATTCTCAGCAAACTGAGACAAGAACAGAAATTCAAACACTCCATGTTCTCACTCGTAGGCGGGTGTTGAACAATGAGAATACATGGACACAGGGAGGGGAGTATTGCAGGCTGGGATCTGTTGGAGGAAGGGCCAAGGGAGGGACAGCAGATGGTTGGGGAGGTCAGGAGGGATAACATGGGGAGAAATGCCAGATGTAGGTGGTGGGGAGATGGAGGCAGCAAACTACATTGCTACGTGTGTACCTATGCAACAATCCTGCATGATCTGTACGTGTACCCCAGAATCTAAAGTACAACACAGAAAAAAGAAAAAAATTAAAAGTTAAAAAGATATATTTGGATCCCATGAGGAATTCTAGGTGAAGATGCTATTGTGGTAAAAATTATTTTGGTAAGGCATTGTTAGTTTTTGAGATATTAGAAAGGTATTTACACATGAAAATTATTAGTTAACAGAGTTTGGAGCTGGGCATGGCAGTACATGCCTGTCTCTTAGCTACTTGGTAGATTGAGATGGGAATATAGGGTTGAGTCCAGGAGATCAATGTTGCAGTGTGCCATGATTGCACCCATGAGTGTCTACTGCACTCCAGCCTGAGCACAACATAGTGAGATCCTGTCTCTAAAAACAACAACAAAAAATAGAGTCTAGCAAATAAAGCATTGTAGATAGATGCTTTTCTAAAAGTGAAGAATATGTTTACAGTATGAATAAAATGAAGTCTGATTTTTAGGATTTTTATGTGGAAATAAATATGGGATATTGAATCAGATTCAAAGCATTTGGAGTTAGACCTCAGATTAAATGCCTGCTTTGCCTTTTTTGTTTTGTTTTGTTTTTGGAGGCAGGGTCTTGCTGTGTTGCGCAGGCCAAAGTGCAGTGGTATAATCATGGATACATACATCATAGCTCACTGTAGCCCTCAAACTCGTAGGCTCAAGTAATCCACCCAACTCAACCTCTTGGAAATAATAGGCACATACCACCACACCCAACTAATTTTTAAATTTTTCATAGAGACATAGTGTTGCTGTGTTGCCCATACTCGTCTCAAACTCCTGGCCTCAAGAGATCCTCTCACCTTGGCCTTCCAAAGTGCTGGGACTAAAGGTGTGAGCTACCACTTCTAGCTCTTGCTCTGCATTTTAATATCCATGTGTCCTTAGCTGAATAATGGAAATTCTTCACATTTCTTTAGAAATAAAGGTAGTATCTCCTAGTATTATAGCAAGGGCTGAATGAGAGTATTGAAAGCCTGTAACTTAGTGCCCAGTGTATGTTAAGTATTCAATAGATGTCTCTAAATGAGAACTTTATATGCTCTTCAAATACAAGTTTTTCAAATAGATTTAAGATTTCTTGTGATGAAAGTAAAATTTTATCACTTTAATAAAGAATATCATAAAAGTATTTTTCATGCCTGATAACTTAGTATATTCTCTTTTCTACTACTGTTCTTTTTGTTTTTATTACAGATCAACGTAAGAGTAACTACAATGGATGCTGAGCTGGAATTTGCCATTCAGCCCAATACAACTGGCAAACAACTTTTTGACCAGGTATCATTTAACTGCATGAAATATGCAACTTTTGATACCATAGTGTGAATGTTGTTGCATACCTCTTTCTCTGTTTTTCGGTACTTTTGCTGATAATCCGACAATGTAGCACTTGGAATTTTTCATGGTAGCTATTCAGATACCCCTACTACAGCAGTAGGGATATTCTTTATTCTTTTACATTCCTGCATTTGTGGGAGAGGACTACTCGAAAATAATTTTCAGCAGGCGTTTATTTAACATCTATGAAAATCACTGTGAAGGTGACTAAGAGGGATTCAAAAATAATCTACAAAGTTGAGTGAAATGAGTAGGAATCATGGGCAGAAGAGACAGCGGGAGCGAAAGCATAGGGAATTACAGGTAGAGGGTATCCCTTACCCAAAATGCTTGGGACTAGAAGTGTTTAAGATTTTGGATTTTTTTTTAGATTTTGGAATATTTGCATGTGTATCATGAGATATCTTGGGGATGGGACCCAAGTCTAAACACAAACTTTATTTATGTTTTGTGTACGACTTAGACACATAGACTGAAAGTAATTTTATAAAATGTTTTAAATAATTTTATGCATGTGCTGGGCATGGTAACTCATGCCTGTAATATCAGCACTTTAGGAGGCTAAGGTGGGCAGATCACCTGAGGTCAGGAGTTTGAGACCAGCCTGACCAACATGGAGAAAACTCATTTCTACTAAAAATACAAAATTAGCCAGGAGTGTTGGTGCATGACTGTAATCCCAGCTACTCAGGAGGCTGAAGCAGGAGAATTGCTTGAACCCGGGAGGCAGAGATTGCGGTAAGCTGAGATTGCACCGTTGCTCACCAGCCTGAGCACCAAGAGTGAAACTCTGTCTCAAAATAGTAATAGTAATACTTTTATGTATGAAATAAAATTTATACTGAGTTTTTACTGGGACCCATCACATTAGGTTAGGTGTGGAACATTCCACTTGCAGAGTCACGTTGGTACTGAAGAGGTTTCAGATTTTGTAGCATTTTGAATTTTGGATTTTTGCATTAGGGATGCTCAACCTGTATAGGCTATAAGGAGATCACTAACAATTTGGTGTCATAGGTTCATAATGTATGAGGCAAACAAAGGTTGGGATATAGAGGTCAGGTACCCGGTATGTTAAGGAACTGGGACTACTAATCTCATCTATCTTCTCAGTCTTGGGTATGCATTAGAGTCATCTGTTGAGCTTAAAAAAGTGGGGAGGAGACAGTGCTTTCAAAACCCCTTCCAGAGATGCTGATTTTATTGTCTGGGCCTACTCTAAATCATCAGTATTTTAAAATTTAAGCTTGCCAGGTAATGTTGTATTGCAATGTGAGAAAGTTTTACTGAGAAAATAAGGTAAGAGATTGTTCCCAGGGGTCAAGGAAGGTGGTATATCATGCATGGCATGAAACTTAGAGGAGGCTTTGCATACGTAATAAATTTTTAAAAAAGGAGGATAAACTTTACATAAACTTTACATATACTTTTTCTTAGGAGCAGGAGAGTAATAGCTTGTACCCAGAATAACTTGATCTTAAAGAATGAAAGAGTTTCTAGCATTTTAGCAATAAGTAACATGAGATACCTTGGGTTTATTAGTTGTCATTCTGTCAAATGCAGATTCAAATCTGATGAAATAAAAATTTTAAATTCTGAAAAGTTGCTTCTTCTCCTAACAAATAATATACTTAATCCCCTAATTAGGTAATTCATAAAATGAAAAGTCCTGCTAAGGTCTTTTTGGATGATGAAAGGCTTTTTGTGTGGATGAGCAAATTTTTAAAGCAAAATCAAAGAGCTGAGTTCACCATACCTTGTGAACCAATCTCCACTTCTTTTTTTTCCAAACCACATTTGTTTTGGTATAATATCCACTTCTGTTGATTCTTCTAGGACTCCTGTTTGTGAATATAAAGTCTATCTTGAATAAAAATGTGAATAGAGTTAGCATTTATTGTACTTCATAGCAAATTGAAAAGTTATTTATAGTAAGTGAAATGTTTGTGGCAGCCAAAAACTAATCAGCAAGTTATTCTTTTTGGTATTGGATACTAAGAAATAAAAATTTTTATTAAGTAGAGTTACTTTTAACTTGGATCAGAAAATGAAACCGCATTTATTATAGGGCAGTAATGTGTAGTGGTTTAGTAGTATGGGCACTGGAGCGACACTGCCTGCAGTAGTTCCATTTGTACCTGTTTGACTTTGGACAAATTAATCTCTTTGCCTTATTTTTCTTGCTCTAATTAGGATGAGGTAACATTACTTCTTTAGAGGTATATTGTGAGAATTAAGTGAAAATCTATATAAAGTGCATAGAACAGTATTTGATGGTTTTATGTATATCTCTTTCTATTTATATAGATAAATACAGTGTCAATGCTGCATAATGATGTTTCTGTCAACGACAGGCCACATATACCATAGTGGTCCCATAAGATTGTAATACTGTATTTTTACAGTACCTTTTCTATGTTTAGATATATTTAAATACACAAATACTTACAGTTGTGTTAGAGTTGCCTACAGTATTCAGTAAAGTAGCACGCTGTGCAGGTTTGTAGGCTAGGAGCAATAGGCTATACCATATAGCCTAGGTGTGTAGTAGGCTGTGCCAGCTAGGTTTGTTCAGGTATACTCTATGATGTTCACATGATGATGCAATTGTCTAACGATGCATTTCTCAGAATATATTTCCATCATTAAGCAACACTGACTACACGCACACACACACAATTCATATTGTAAGTGGTCTAGATTATTATTTACTTAAAATAATTTTTTTTTGAGATAGAATCTCACCCTTGTTGCCCAGGCTGGAATGCAGTGGCGCAGTCTCGGCTCTCTGTAACCTCTACCTCCCAGGCTCAAGCGATCCTCCCACCTTAGCCCCTGGCTAATTTTTTTTTGAATTTTTGGTAGAGATGGGGTTTTGCCGTGTTGCCCAAGTTGGTCTTGAACTCCTGAGCTCAAGTTATCCGCTTGCCTTGGCCTCCCAAAGTGCTGGGATTGTAGGCGTGAGCCACCGTCTGGCCTGGTCTAGATTATTGAGTATTGTTAACTGTTATAGACTGTTCTCAGCAGCTCTTTAGTCCCTGTTCTATTTCCTGACTGCTTTTCTTGAACTCAAATACAAGGATCTAAATACAGGCTTTACTTTTGTATATAAGTGTGTATGGAATGAGCTGGCAGCTTTACGTCAAGCCAGGAGTAAACTGGGTCCTCTAAAATGAGAGCACATAGCTTCATGAGTCCATGTGTAGCAAAGCCCCATGTCTAATTATGATGTTAGATTGAGGACAGCTGCTCTGTGTTGGAGACTCTGACTGCTTGAAGTCCTTTGGTTTGCTTCTTGCTGACTCTTCTTGACTAGCCTTCTCCTGTAGCTGCTTCTTGTGGGATTAAAGTACAGCGTGAGTGTTCACACCCCCAAAGAGTATGTAAGAACATCTGTTAAGGTGAAAGAAGTATTAAAATTTATTTTTAGGCTGGATGCTGTAGCTCACGCTTGTAATCCCAGCACTTTGGGAGGCCAAGGCAGGTGGATTATTTGAGGTCAGGAGTTTGAGACCAGCCTGTCCAATATTGCAAAACTCTGTTTCTACTAAAAATACAAACAGGGTGTGGTGGCATGCACCTGTAATTCCAGCCACTCGGGAGGCTGAGGTGGGAGGGAGAGTTGCTGAAATCTGGGAGGCAGAAGTACTCCAGCTTGGGCAACAGAACAAAACTCCATCTAAAAAAATGTATATGGATATAAAATCTTTTATATAAAATCATTTCCAAAATGTTTAAAAATATATATGCTTTATAGTATATTAGCATGACAGTGTGTAATTTGTAAATAAATATACATATATTATAGTTATGTGCCCAGGGAGTTTCACTTATAAAAGTATGTGATCAAAAGTTTATGGGCGCACAAAGGACAGCCTCACAAAAATATATTAACTTAAAAAAAAATTCTAGGAGCACCTAAACCGCTGGGGAGATAGGGCCTAATAGGGCATTTCACAGCTGAGCTCTCTGGTTCTTGTATCTGTGTAAGAAAGTTAGTTTAGCTATTATCCCTTGTGCCTACTGTGGTACATCTCCCTTTTATTTACCTAGCATTGTGAATCTCTCAGAGTATGGGGGCAGAAGCTGAGGCCAGCTGCTTTGTTATACTTCTCTCTGCTGCTTTTGACCTGTACATTCCTACTCCTGTACTCTGAGCTTGAATGTTTTCTATGGCACTGCTGGGGCAACCCATCTTCTACCAAAGTTAGATTATTTGAGATCTCCTTTTGTCCACATTGAATTTTTCATTGTTTGGCGTTGAACAGCTTTTGCATTATCAATATGAGACTTTATATTCCACATCTTCCAGAATTTTCTTATTTTTAATTTTTTTTTTTTTTTGAGACAGGGTCTTGTTCTGTCACTCAGGCTGGAGTACAGTGGCATAATCATAGCTCACTGCAGCCTTGACCTCCTGGACTCAAGCAATCCTCCCACCTCAGCCTCCTGAGTAGCTAGAAATACAGATTTACCAGACCACACTCAGCTAGTTTTTTTTTTTTAAGAGTCAACGTCTCCCTACATTGCCCAGGCCGTTCTGAAACTCCTGGGCTCCTCCTGCCTTGGCCTTCTAAAGTGTTGGGATCACAAGCATGAGCCACTGTGCCCAGCCAGTGCTTTTTAACTGTGTCATTTCAGTGAAAATTTTCAAGAATGGGAAAGTAAACAGAAAGGTTCAGTTTTCTGTCTTGAAACCAAAAGCCTGGAATGGTTTAAGAGGGGTGTGTGTGTGCGTGCGTGCGTGTGTGTGTGTGTGTGTGTGTGTTGTAACTGGGATTATGGGTGGTATACACCACCAGGACTGTCTAATTTTTGTATTTTTGGTAGAGATGGGGTTTCACCACGTAGGCCAGGCTGGTCTTGAACTTCTGGCCTTTAGTGATCCAGCCATCTTGGCCTCCCAAAGTGCTGGGATCACAGGCATGAGCCACTGTGTCCTGCCAAATGTTTTAGGATTATTTTTTAAAAAGCAGGCTGGGCTCAAAGGTTCACACCTGTAATCCCAACACTTTGGGAGGCTGAGGCAGGCAGATTGTCTGAGCTCAGGAGATCAAGACCAGCTTGGGCAACATGAGACCCTGTCTCTACTAAAAATAGAAAAAAATTGCTGTGTTTGGTGGTGTACCCCTGTGGTCCCAGCTACTCAGGAGGCTGAGGTGGGAAGATTGCTTGAGCCCTGGGTGGGGGTTGTGGAGGTTGCAGTGAACTGAGATTGTACCACACCACTTCCAGCCTGAGTGATGGAGTAAGACCCTATCTCAAAAAACAAACAACAACAACAAAAAAATTAAAGGCTGAGCACGCAGTAGCTTACATCTATAATCCCAGCATTTTGAGAGGCTGAAGGAGGAGGATCACTTGAGGCCAGGAGTTTATGACCAACCTTGGCAACATAGCAAGAACCCTGCCTCTACAGAAAAAAAACAAAAAAACACATTAACTGGATATGGTGGGATATGCCTGTAGTCCCAGCTATTCGGGAGGCTGAGGCAGGAGGATTGCTTCCGCCCAGGAGGTCAAGGCTCCAGTGAGCCCTGAATTGTACCACTGTACTCCAGTGTGGGTAGAGTGAGACCCTGCTTTAAAAAAAAAAAAAAAGCAAAAAAGTCCGGAAAAAACAAGAATGCTTATTATTTAAGAACTGATAATGAATCTTTCTATAAAGCTTTTAAAATGTTAATGAACTTTTACCTCCCCTGGCTCATTTCCCTCATTTTAAATATAGATTTTTTAAAAACCATATGTTTTTGTTAAGTGTGGGCAAGTCCTAGGAGTGTGTCCTAACTCCACCACTTTATTTACTGTAATACTTTTGAGTGCCTACCACAGGCTAATCATTCTGTGAGATACCATGGATTTTAAGACAAATAAATCAGTAATCTCTGTCCATAAGTATTATGCAGTCAAGGAGGGTAAATAGACACACTGCTAATAACACAATAATAGAGTAAGTGTTCTAATAGCAGGATAGATAGAGTCCTATGGGAATATCAGGGAACAAGTGATTAATTTTATCTAGATGATAGGAGAGCTTTATTTACAGAAGGCATATTAGTTGACTGGTCCTTAAAGAATAAATTATTTTAACAGGTCATAAAAGTACAGAAGACCCATTCTAGGCAGAAGAAAAAACATGAGCAAAATTGTAGAAGGGTGGAATTTATGGTATGTTCCAGGAATGGTTTCTTGCTCAGTGAAGGTAGAACACAGAATATATCAGACACTTTTCTTTCTTTTTTTTTTTTTTTAAATTCAGTCTTCATATATGGAGACTGTCAAAAATTGCCAATGTCGACTATATTGCAAAGTTGTCACAGCAGGGTATTGGGAAAAGTTTTCAATTAGCAATAATCATGCTTGGATAAACCTCATTGTCTATGATAACTGCTACTGCACAAAGCTTTATCAGACACTTTTCTAATCACCAAAATGATACTATTTGCCCTAAATATACCAATAGGGCGCTTGTGGGGGCAAATGGAAATAGAAATATAGGATTATGAAAACTGTATGTGTATTTTCAAGACTCTTGTTATTTGTTGAGGTCATGATAGATAAGAAAAAAGGAGGTATGAAAAAGTGGATCAAGTAAGAGGATTGAAGTGGCACTACAAAATTGAGTGTAGAAGCCGGGTGCAGTGGCTTATGCCTGTAATCCCAGCACTTTGGGAGGCCGAGGCGACAGATCACCTGAGGTCAGGAGTTCGAGATCAGCCTGGCCAGCATGATGAAACCCCATCTCTACTACAAATACAAAAAATTAGCTAGGTGTGGTGGTGCATGCCAGTAATCACAGCTACTTGGGAGGCTGAGGCAGGAGAATCGCTTGAAGGGAGGGAGACAGAACTTCCGGTGAGCCAAGATTGTGCCATTGCACTCCAGCCTGGGCAACAAGAGCAGTAAAAACCCCTTCTCAAAAAAGAAAACTGAGTATAGAAAACTTGAATTTGAGTTTTTAAAAATGTTCCTTCAATATGTTAAATTTAACCTTTTCTATGGCAAAGAAATATGTGTATACCTATATAGTTTTGTTCTTCTTTTGAAGTGTAATATAATCTAGACTCAGTGTATATGTTGAACTGAAATTGGTTTTTTCTTGTGTTTTAGGTGGTGAAAACAGTTGGTTTGCGTGAGGTCTGGTTTTTTGGGCTGCAGTATGTAGACAGCAAAGGTTATTCTACATGGCTTAAACTAAATAAAAAGGTAAAATATGTACAATAACATTAATAATTATGTTAAGTTGAAATTATCATGAATTTGTGCTGGAAAAGCTAACAGTCTGACTGATTCCAAGCTTCCTTTTGTAGTTATCTGTTAATCGTTAAGAGGTATCGTGTGTTTTTAATTCAGTCAGGCACCATCAGCTTGCCATCTCAAAAAAAAAAAAAATGCTTACTTTTCCTATTTGAAAACTTAGCCTATAACAAATATTAAAGCAAATATTACAGATGGCGTACTCAATGCATCAATTTCGATGTAAACATCTGTAGGATAAGCTTCTCAAGAATATGTAGAAACGTTTTCAATTTGGTTATTAGAATCTGAGTTTATCGGTCACATTCAAGAGCGTAGAATCTTTTATCACATATATTTGTTTACTGATTTAGAGTATTATACACTAAAATCTGACTTCATAGATTTAGAATCTTCTATTTTATTTCTTACTTTCTTCCAAAAAGAATTTGATGTGACTAGGTTCAATTATTGTAAACTTAAGATTTTTGTTGATTACACTTGACATTATTTTTCCAGGTGACACAGCAAGATGTTAAAAAAGAGAATCCTTTGCAGTTCAAGTTTAGAGCTAAATTTTTTCCTGAAGATGTTTCTGAGGAATTAATTCAAGAAATAACCCAGAGACTCTTCTTCTTGCAAGTTAAGGAAGCCATTTTAAATGATGAGATATATTGCCCGCCAGAAACTGCAGTTCTTTTGGCCTCCTATGCTGTCCAAGCCAAGTATGCAGATTATAATAAAGAGATTCATAAACCAGGATACCTGGCTAATGATAGACTCCTACCCCAGCGGTAAGTGAAACATGCCTTTACATTATATTGTTTGAAAATTACAGTCCAGAAGTCTATAAATAAAATTTTTTTCAGGGCATTTTTTTTCTTTTTGAGACAGGGTCTGGTCCTGCCACCTGTGCTAGAGAGCAATGGCGTGATCTCAGCTTACTGCAACCTCTGCCTCCCAGGCTCAAGCCATCCTACCACCTCAGCCTCCCGAGTAGCTGGGACTATAGGCACATGACAATTTTTTTTTAATGTATTTTTGTAGAGTTGGGGTTTCATGATATTGCCCAGGCTGGTCTCAAGCTCCTGAGCTCAAGTGATCTGCCTGCCTCTGCCTCCAAAAGTGCTGGGATTACAGGCGTGAACTGCTGTACTTGGCTTTTTTTTTTTTTTTTTTTAAATCAGATTTTAAGTTGCCAGCTGGATCATGGGTGTACTTCTGAAAATCATGACCTAGCACCTCCATAGATTTATATGCTCTATAATTACCTACGGTTGATCTGCTTCATTCTTCATTCCCATAGGGTAAGCAATAAATGGAAGCAGTGATAATTTGGACTTGAGGAAAGGATATTGCTGCTTCTTGGTACAAATTCTAACACAGGAAGGTGCTTAATAAATGAGAATA